CACACATATACTTTAAGATGTGTAGATATGTGTTTATATCCATGTGTTAATAGATGAGTATGTTGCGGTAAATAGGTGAACACCGTTTCGCTGCTGCAACTAATTTGCGAATAAATATTTATACATTATATTTACGGTTTCGAATTTCATAATTTTTTTTCGAAATTCAGATAAAGTGATTTTTGTGGTTGTTCCTTATTTAGATATGGTTTTTCACATTTGCCATTTTTTTTTTTAAATATTTTTGACACCTTCATGACTACATAATTTGCACATACTCGTATACATATGTACGTGAATAGGTTTTAGCTTGTAGTTAGCTCGATATGTACACATGTAATGGATTTTCACGCCATGCCATCCATCATTTATGCCACTTATTCGATAAATGTTGCAAGCTCACTTTGTAGAAAAAGTTTTGTTTTCGTGAAGTTTACTCTCCTCAAAGAGGGAGCTCAGTTGCTTGCGACTTTTGCTGACTTTGCATTGGGCCGTAGTATGACGAGGAAAAGATAAAGATTTTCCCAATATATATGTATGTATGCATTTATGTATTTTATTTCAGAAATTTGCTTTGTAATATTAAATATGTAATATAAATTTTAAATAGTTCCATTATTTAAGAAATATTTCAAAAAAATCTAAAAATTGTAAAGATAATTTTTTGTTTAATATTTATAGTAAATTTTGTTTAAAATTTATTTATATGTATATTTTTTTCTTTAAATCAACAAAATTTAAGCATTTTGTATATGAAAAGTTAGGTTAAAAATTTTTTGTTAATATATTTTTTTATTATATTTAATTTAATTTAATATTTTTCATTATTAATTATTTTAAATATTCTTTTTAATTTACTCTCAATCAACTTATCAAGATGGTATGTGTGCATGTAATATAATATATACTTTAATTAAATTTAAGTACATATTATACCATAAATCACTAAATGACTGCATCTAAACATTTAAGTCATGCCGAGGCAAATAAATTTAATTTATGCACATTCATTTATTAGAAAGACTGTCATAAAGTCAACGTGTCCGTCCGTCTTTTGTCTTGTTTTCACCATATCTACCTTATACAATTTTGCATAAACTTTTTTGCTGTTTTTTATTTATTTTATTTTTTTAATTTATTTATTTTTTTTAATTTTGTTTTTTTATTTTTTCCCATATATTTCATTATTTCAGTTATTCACTTTAATTTTTTTTTTGTTTACTCTCCACAAATTCTTCCCGCCTTTTGATTTTCTATTTATCCACTTGCCACTTTGTCTCGACACGTTTTCCAGCTTGTCAGTGCGCTGGCATGTGACTTTTTCATTAGCGCTGGCGTCAAACATATCCAAAGCATTGAATGCCATCCAAATCGTGAATAATTCAATAGGTTCATGGAAAATTCGTTTGTTAGTTAAAGCACTCACTTGAAGTTTATGTTTATAAAACATGTGCGGGTAGTTAAAAATTTATTAACTACTTAAGGGTCGTTAATTTCTGATGAGAGCGAATTAAAAGAATTTCAAAGAGATTCGATAAAAATCAGCATTATTTTACTCTATTCCACACAATTTAAAAAAAAAAATTTTTGGCATATTTTATTTTACTTCGAATTATTTTTATTTAGTTTTCTATGATTTTAGCATATTTTTATTACTTTAACTCTTTCAGTTATTTTATTTTTTAAATTTTGTTTATTTTCTCTTTTCATTTTAGTTGATTTAATTTTATTTTATATTAAATTATTTTGTTTTATTTTATTTTTTTTATTTTATTTTATTATATTTTACTTATTTCCATTATATTTATATTAATTATTTTATGTTATGTTATCCTATTTTATTCTATTTTATTTTCCTTTCTTTTATTTTTTTTACATCATTTAATTTAATTTTATTTTATTTTATTCTCGTTTCATTTTATTTCATTTCATTTCATTTCATTTCATTTCATTTCATTTCATTTTATTTTATTTTATTTTATTTTATTTTATTTTATTTTATTTTATTTTATTTTATTTTATTTTATTTTATTTTATTTTATTTTATTTTATTTTATTTTATTTAAATTTTTATTTTATTTTAATTTTTTTATTTTATTTCATTATATTTTGTTTATCTTTCTTTGTTTTATTTTGATTTTTTTAGCATTTTTCTCCCCATTTTATTGCAGTATTTTTTGGCGTTTTTCTCGTCGACAATCGGTTTGTCCTGTGTACCGACCTTCGCAATGAAAGTAACGAAGGACATATGCGTGACAATATTGAATTGTGTGAAAAGCAATGCGATGGAATAAAAAATCACCAGAAGCAACAATAAAATACACACTAACAATTGACAACAAATTTTAACGAAGTTTAACAACTTTTACTTGACTTTCCGAAATTTGCCTGCATTTTTTGTTTCGTTTACTTCTTTTATAGGACCATCTCTTTGCTTTTTAGCTTTAACAATCGAAACACAATTTGTTATTTTACTTATTTCACTTTCTACAAGGACATTTTCTATATCCTTGACGAAAGTTTTAAGTGCGTAGCGCAATTTGAAGTGAAGTCAAGATGTATGTATGTATGTATGTATGTATGTATGTATGCATGTTGTATGTCAGGTTGTGTTGTGCGCTTTTATTTAGCTGTTGACCTTGTTTATGAGGACTTAAGAAATTTGTTTTTACGTAAGTATGAAGATTGAAATGAGAAAATGAAGGACTGGCAGTAGTTGAGAAGAGTAAGTAAGTGATTATTGAAGTGGCAAGAATAAGTTTGTATGCCAGTATGGCGTAAGTTGAAGTGCGTTATAAGAGAAAAAGCAAATCATTAGTGGGAAGGTCAAAGGAATGTAGCAAATGTGGTTTATGTGCTTTATGATATAATAATGCAGTTCGGTAAGCTATAAGAGAGCTTACGAATAAAAAACTTGCATTAATTATTTAAGTGAAATTTTCCGATTTAATGAAGTCTAGCAATTAGCAGTTATTACTTCTTGAGGTTATTATATTATGCTTAAAAAAAAAGGAAATTCATCGTCCCAAACTTCTAACGAAATCTTCCTTTCCATTAGCTTAAAGTCCTATGACAAACCAATACCTCATAACCTCACCAATTGTCCAACCAAAAGCAGCAGTATTTATGGTTAAGCAAATTTAGTGGTTTTTTTTTAACGTAAACTCAAAGCTTCTGCACTTAAAGTAACTCAAAGTGCGCTCTTGTTTCCTCTACTCTTCACTAACTGTCGTCAGAAACCTTTAGCGTGGGTGCTTCGTTACACTCCACACCGCAAAGGTGACTCTTTCGAGTTCACAAACAAACACCACCCGCGCGCACATTTGTTGCTTTTTAACAATTTATTAAAAACTCACAAAACGGCATTGCCTTTGCGACTTACCACAGGAGCGAGTGAGCGAGTTTACTTTTCGACGCTTTGGCGTTTTGAAGTGCATGCGTTGAAGCGTAACCAGTTTTGAGTTTTATAATTATTATTATTTTTTTTTTTGCAGTTTCCCTTATTCACATACATATGTATTGTATGTGCTTCCTTTTGAATGCTTTTCCTCCTTTTTTTTGCTTTTTTTGCATGCTCCCTTTGTGATTATGTGCGTTGTGAAATCACACAAAAGGTAATGGAATTGTAGCTTTGCAATTAATTTAACGAATCTTATTAAATTTTAAGGATTTGCTTAAATTTTTATTTTTACGATTTTGTATATTTCTCATATTTTATTTTATTTTAATTTAATTTAAGGTATTTTTTTGTTCAATTGTTTTCATTTTTTTTATTACTTTTCATTTCATCTTATTTTATTTTTTCCTCTTAGTTTTAATTATATATATAATTGGCGCTTTGTAATCGCTAGAGCGATTTTCGGCCGAGCGCCTCCTCCAATTTCTGGTTTTGAGTTTTGATGTTTTTCCAACAAATGGAGGGACTTACAGTTTATACTAAGCCGCCTCCGAACGGCTGATGGTTTTTTTACGAGCAGCCTTTATTTCATGTCCGAAATGCACTCAGAGGGGTTGACATTCCCTGCCGAGGGGCGACCGAAATTAGAAAATTTAACTAAAATTAGTTTTCTATAACTTTTGGATGTTGGTCGCTCGGGAATTTGAACCCGAGTACTCCGAGTGTTAGTATGCAAAGCTAACCACTCGGCTACCGGCGCCCCAGTTTTAATTAAAACAAAATTATGCTCGTTTTATATTTATTTAATTTTATTTTTTTTTTGTTTTATTTTATTTTATTTTATTTTATTTTATTTTATTTTATTTTATTTTATTTTATTTTATTTTATTTTATTTTATTTTATTTTATTTTATTTTCTTTTCTTTTAATTTATTTTATTTTAGTTTATTTTATTTTTTTTTATTTTTTGTTTAATATTTTTTTATATTATTGTTTTTATTTCATTTTTTTCATTTTATTTTTTTATTTAATTTATATTTTATTTTGGTGTGTTCTATGTTTATGTTTCATAATAATTTTTATTTCATTTTTTCATAAAGTTCAATTTCATTTAATTCATTTTGGCTCACCATAACTTCTTTTGGTTCGCCTTAAATATTGCACGCTTCATTTGTTACCGCTTTTTAAGCCGTTCGCATTTAGTTTTGATCTTTTGAACTAGCTTCTTTTGCTTTCTTCGCTGTTTTTCTGACTTAATCTTCGCAACTTAACTTTCAAAGTGAAAACTTTTCATTGACATTATCTTAAATCCGCTTTAACGGTACACCCCCATTAAAAGCGCCACCAATTACGTACACTTGTCGCCTGGGGCATTTCATGCCATTAGCAAAAGTTTTTCGCAACGATTGCAGCGATAAAAGGTAAAAAGTACTTTCCGCTTTCGCAGAGCACACAAATGCACTCACTCACTCACCTACTTACTGTCGACTGGCTTACTTGCTAAGTGGTAGAGCTTCCTTGCTTGGCTTTACCACTTAAAATATATAATCCCTACCCGCTAACTTTCTTCTTCTTCTTCATTTTCCGCATTTCGCACACTTACCTTTTTCCTCAAAGTTGCCACTGCCCAGCTTAATGTCGATCGATTCGAAATAATCCCGGACGTTGTTGCATTGTTCGCGTGTATTTAAAATTTTACTGGTCGAATCGCGTTGCAAGCGGCGTCTGTGATGTCCATGCTCGTGTTGTTGTTGTTGTTGGTGTTCATGGTGTGCATGAAAATGATGTAGACCATCGAGATGTTTCGCATTGGCCGCCGCTGGCAATGTCAAACAACTGCTTGCCACCAAAAGGGCAAGGCAAAGTTGCAAGAGCGTGAATAGTAGTAGTAGTAGTGAATGTTGCTGACGGTATTGTTTATTGTTTGCTGTTACTGTTGGCGCTGATGCTGTGGCATTTTGATTGCCAACAACAATTTTGGCGGAGTTTGCCATTATTTCGTTTTGTTTTCTCACTTTTGTTTTAGTGTATTTAAAAATGGAGTTCAACCTTTGTTTTTGCTGCGGTATTGTTGTTGTTGATTCGTTACGATTTATTGGTGCTTTGTAGCGAAATGGTTCTCACAGCGGTTTTTATTTTGTTCTTTTATTTTTTAATTTTACTTTTATAGAAACTTATTTATTTTTCGCTTAGTTGTTGTTGTTATTGTAATTACTTGTTGTCGGCAACAAGCCTTTGATATTTCACTATGCAAATAATTAACAAATCACTACAAACTTGGTTTGCCGCTAGCGCTGAAATCTATAACACAAAACTGTAAAATTTATAAAAAAAAAAAATAAAAAAATAAATTTAAAATAAAAATAACCGGTTTAGTAACGATATTTATGGCTTTAACGTGTTGTCAGCCAATTAATGGATTTTTTCTTTTAAATTTTTTTTCCTAATTAATTACATAAAAAGGCACTTAAAATTTTGCTAACGGTTTTGTAGAAAAGTGAATATTTTATATATGTTTACAACAAAAATTTTTGTTTCAATTTCATAAAAAAAATATAATTTTTTTATTTGCAAAACAATAAATTCGTAAGATACTGCTTGCCACAAACGGTTGCACGCGGCGCTTAAGCGTTCAGCTTAAACAGTAAACTTTAATTTAATGATAAATGACACAGCATGCGTGGTGTTGTCGTTTTGTCAACACCTCTTGCTTTTCCTTTTAAAATATAACACAAATTGTCGCCAAGCAATTTTTTTGGCTTCGAAACTTTTTTATTTTTTTATTTTTTATTTTATTAATTTTTTTTTATTATTTTCTATGCTTTCAGAACAATCCACTAGCCGTTATTTTTAGACGCTGCACACTTTTTGTTGTTTATTTTTTTGTTTTTTATTATTACACTTGAACAGCTGTTTGCCTGCTATTTTGGTTACGGCCGCACCGCACACACCGCCTCCGACTGACTCTCCTACTTGGGGATAGTGACACACAGTCGGGTGAAAACGCTTCCGTACACGCTTGTCAATGTACAGAGAGCAGACTAAAAATAACACATAAAACGGCCACTTAGCTGGTGGGTAGGGGCTGGTTGTCTGAAGACCGCAGTGATTTTTTTGTTGATTTTTTTTCGAAGGTTATAAAGGCAATCTACTTACTTAGAGACACTTTTTGTTTACTATTATATAATTTATGTGATTTGCTTTTACTTATTTTTAATCTTACTTTTGTCTCCCTGTGCGCACACAAACTGAGTAGGTACCTGCGCAGTTTCGACTGCGTTCTTTGCCGTGTGTCTCGTCTCGTGCGTTTAACAGCGCGAGATTTTATTTATTCGTTTCACACTGCGTGCCACACAACTGACCTCGGAAACCACTAAACTGCTATGTAACCGATTTGGCGCGCTAATCTTGCACGTCCAATTGAGCAAATAACATTTAGCACCGCACTGCTTTTAGCTTAACTTACGTACACAGACACATACGAATGCATTATGTATTTACTTGCTTCTATTGTAATTTAATTTGCACAAAACCCACGTCTGTCCACTGAGCGAGACAATAAAATATATTACGCGACGTTAGCGACAACGCAAAGCCCGATGAAGACCCAAGAAGCGCAAAAGATACTAAATAGCAAAAAAACAAAAACAAAAAAAAAAAAAAAAAAAACTCACACGTAGCTACGTTTTGTTTATTTGTGTATAAGCAGCCGCGAAGGAGTACGAGTTGGTGGAGATACAGGTGAAGTTAGCGACTCGACGCGACGCGACGCGTGACTGCTGACGTCTGCTCGAGCGTATGAACGGCAAACACAACGACACAGCGAGCAAGCGAGGAAGTTTTTTTAACTTATTTCACTTGATACTACTTTTCGCTGCTTCTTTTGCACTAATTCTTTTATTTACTTTATATATATAGTCTTCTTGGTCTTGGTCTACTACACGTGTTTCTTGCGCACTCGGTCCGTGCGCCGGCTCTTAGATACTCCACACACCACTTAGCTTTATGTGTGTGACTGACTGTGCTTGTGTGTTGGCGTAGTTAATGTGCGAAATTAGACATTAAGAGGAACGCTTATGGAATCCAAATGTTAGATTTAATTTTCTCTGACCGGGGACTTTTTTTTCCCACAACGTAAATGAAGGTAGTAATTCTGTGTTGACTTTTTTGATACGTTTTTATGTCAAAGACACGCTTTTACGGCGCGAAGAATTCAATAGCGCGCACAGCTTCTTCACTAAAATTAGCTTCTTTTATGCTTTCTGCTTGTTGTCAATAGCTTTTGTGCGTAGGCGACTTGCCTTGTTGTTCTTCTTCTACCTTTAGCTGCGCCTAATCGTTAATCTCTTAATCTTCTCTGCGTAGTTTGCAACCTTTTTTCGGCGTATAATTCTTTACACCTCTATTTATTATAATTTTTTTTTTTGAACGTTCACAAAAACACAACAAGCTTCTTCTGTTGCGCTAGTGGTGACATAATCCTTTAGAAGACAGTATTTGTGAAGACACTTGAAAAATCAAAATCACACATTAGAAACTACACAGCGGTTGGTTGGGCCAAAGAAGATACTTTGTTTCAAAAAAAGTCTCCAATTATGTAGATACTTTTTGCAAGAACTCTTTGTTGTTGCTGCTTTTTCAAATACTTATTTAATTTTCCACTCAATTTGAACTCTGTACTCTTTGGCACAAGTAATAATTGATTAATTTCTGCTTTTACAATTATTTATTATAGATTTTTTTTCTCGTTATTTTACTTTCAAACACACACAAACATACATACACTCGTCGTCATTAATCGCAGACGCTGTGCTTGCTCACTGTGCTCTTTCTTATTCTTTTACTTTTTATTGCTATTGCTGTTGCTATTATTATTAGTTTCGCCACTTCGTGTTTTTTCGCTTACACAGGCGTACGTACACATACATACATACATACATACGTACGTGTGCAATATATTTTATATATCGATACGGCGTGCGATTTTATTTGATTTATTTTTACAAGAATTTTTTTTGAACTTTTTTTTGTGTTTGAATTTGCTTTTAATTATAAACTTTGCGCTTTTTCAACACTCTGCCTGTTGGCTGTTGTTATTTCACGGTATATTTTGCTTTTGTTTTTTTTTTTTTTCTTGTACATACATTTGTATTTCTGCTTTCGTTCAAAAAAACTGCGCTGCTGCAGATGTGCACACGTCCAAACGCTCCGACAACTCGTTTACGTTTAGCATTTGAAAATCGAACACGAGCCATTGTTGGGATGTGTTCGTTGCGAATGGCTTCGAGCATCCGGTTGGTAGTTCGCTTCGAACAGGTTCGTTGTTTATGTTCGTTCGTTGGTGCGTTGGTTTGTTTGTCATTTGCAGTTGTTGTGTGGTTTGAGCGGCTTTGAGTTGGAGCAAAATGCCGGTAAATGAGTTGGATCTTGTTGGGTGGTTACAGTGGTGGCGGTGAGAAAAGTTGGAGGCATAATTAAATAATAAACAATAGCATGTAAAGGTTGATTCATTTCGAGGTTCCCTGATTTTTTGAATAAAAAACACAGAAAATTCAAATTTAACGGGGAATGTTTATTATCATCCGGAAGAACATTAATTAGCATTTATTTTTTGAAGATTTATTCTCTTTCAAATGTCGTCCGCGGCTACGTCTCAGCTGGTCCATACGTTGAGTCGAATTTACGTTCGAGCATTTCGACTGGTATCTGACGATGCAGAACACGCGTGGTGTTTTGCTCCAAGGCATGCATCGAAGCGGGATTGTATGCATAGGCTTAAGACCTTACATATTCCCACGGGAAAAAATCTGATATCACACGTTGTTGGTGGCCAATCGACCAACCCAAAACGTGAAATTATCTGCTCACCGATGTAGTCTCTAAATAAATCCATTGATTGATGCGATGGGGGGGAGGTGCCGCCGTTTTGTTGAAAGCAAAGGTCGCGGAGATCACGAGCTTCAATTTCTGACATCAAATATTCGGATTTCATGGCGCAAAAACAATAACACCATTGACAGTTACTCTCTCACCGGCATCATTTTTAAAGAAATGTGTACTGATAATTCCAAGGGTCTGCAAAGCACACAAAACCGTTGTTATTGAGCCAGAAATATGCCTCATCGCTGAGCAAAATTTGGCTTGAAAACGTTAGATCTTCTTGAAACTTTAAAGAGTCCAAAGGGCAGCGAAGCGATGTCGTCTGGGAGGGTATGAGCGGCTTTAGCTCTTGCGCACAAATGCGTATTTTGTACTTTTTGCAATTTAAGATCTCGACATTAAATGCGCCAAGTCATTCCATACGTCAGTTCGAGTTGCTGGGAATGGCGCACAATCGACTCACTACAGCCTTCGTGTACACTCTCAGCTAGGCTGCCGCGTCCTGGGCGTGATCTATTCGGTCGAATATTATCCAGTAATGAATGCACGGTCTCAAGATGGATGGTGGTCTGCGCAGTAAGCCGATTAGGTTGACCACTGTCTTGCCAAATACATCTATTGACTTATATGTGACAGACTCGCATTCTACGTAGGGCTGAATAGTGTGGTTGTGATTGTAGACACATTAGCGTTTCGCAGCGCGGATAGATTGTCCGCTCAGCCACCCATGATCTTTACAATTACCAAAACAAATTGCGTTCAAATGGTACAAGTTCTGACATTTTGATATTCCTCCCTGAGGTCTTGGTGGGCTTGGATTATCTAAAAATACTTACGTGGTGACTCTCACTGGACGCTGCTTGCTTTACTAGTTAAGTTATTCATCGGAGCGCATGTTCTCAGCTCCATACGACTGGTCTTTTGCTTCGGTTTTAGGATCTGGTGATCATCAGATTCCAACAGGGCCTGATTCATCGGTACTCAATGCAACAGCTTACAATCCAGTGGCAACTGCACCAGATCTTCTCTGTTGGCATTGATAGGTTCTGACAGTCTCGGCTTCGCTATTAGCGCTAAAACGTAGCTTTCTAATGTTGTTAATCGGACCAAGGAGGTAGCGTGATAGGCACTGGCCACTTAAAATTGTGAGCTTTCGCTCTACGTACTGTTTGTGTGTCCAGCGTGTCAACCGTGCTGTTTCAAAAGGCTTCGCTCGAAGCTTTGTTGTTCAATAGCGCTCTGCTGGGCAAAGAGTCGGCACGGAATCACGGATATCTCGTTCTAGCTCTACCGATAGACCACTATCAGGAACCTTTTACATTTCATAGAGAAAAGTATAGATGAAGGCTTTATAAGCAAATAAATATAAGGTCTACGATGGGTTCCACATACTCAACATCTCTTCCGCAACAAAACCATTGCATTTTAAGATTTAGATCTCTATTTGGATGACAAGATCTCTAAGCTTAGAACCGTTAATATGAGAACAATTCAGCAATTTAGCTGCTCTCCATCGATGTGCCTTAACGAGAGCTATTTCAAAGGAATCAAACCATGGATGGATGGGGGTTTTTAAAGGAGGAGCTATTTATCTGCCTCAGGCGATGACTGCGTCGTTCAAAAAGCAAAAGTACCACCAAATACAGACGAAGAGCTCGAACTGCCTCGAGAGACTCGCGTGATACTGGTACAATTAAGGTCTGGATACTGCAGTAGGTTAAATTTCTACTTGTCCAGACTCGACTCCAACATGCCCTACGTATATCCTGCATGTAGATAATCTCCGCTTGATACTAACCACCTCTTTACATGCCCCCTAACCCCCTTCCCTCTGTTCCGAACCAGTCGAAGCAGTACGTTTCCTGGCCCTTTAATTAGATGACCTCGATGACTAAGATTGACTAACCTGTCCCTAAGGGGGGTAACGAACAAAAACAACAACAACTGTGTTGTTCAGATCTCATTAACGAGAAGATTGTTGGCCGACTCTGTGCTCTCGTCCATGTGCTCTAGCATTTACGCATTCATAACCTAATTGGTACAAGCGGAGCTTTCTTGAGTTGAGGAATATATTTTAATGTGACTAAAAAAAGATAGTTTTAAAAAAAAAGCTCCAAGGAATCTTTGTGTTATAAATTATAGCTTTATTTTAACGATGTGACAGGTTTTTAATTTCATATCATTCCTTTCATGTCTCCTCCTACCCAATCACAAAGGTGTTTCAATTTTGCCTATGCTCATCTCCATCAACTGTTCCCCTTTCATTCACTTTTCTTATGTGCCTAGCGGATACCTTCTTCTTCGAATCAACTCTGTACCTCACATTGCTAAAGGCGAAAGGAGGAAAAGAAAACAAAAAAAAAGGAAACTCTCAACCAATACTAGGCGCATTCTCTGATTACTCACTAATCTACAACGCATTTGTAGTCCGCGGAACGGGTACGTTGAAGGAAATCGAAAATGATTGTGGGAAAGTTACGCACTTTGGTGCTTACGTAAGTGAAGTGTGAATGAAGGTTTGATGCGCAATTTTCAGTTTGCGGTTTTGCGGCTCATTTATGAATGAAATTCCTTGTAATGAGGCAATTTTACAATGCTAATTCGGTCAGGATTTATGAGGCTTAAATTAAATATCCATACAAAAAAAAAGGAGAGAGAGGGAGAGAGAGAGATTACTTGTTCTCGGAAGATATTAAGGATTCGCTGATGACTAAGTGAGTTCAGAAAATGAAAGTATTCAAGTCAAAATAGAGAACGAATTGTTAAAAGAGAATCGGATTTTGATCACCGGAAATTCCGCTGAGAGTGTCGAGAAAGCGATGGTACATGGCTCGCCGAGTTCCAAAGGCGACTATTTATATATGTATATGTATGAATGGCACTTTCTAACAGTGGAAGCGATTTTCCGCTGAGATCTTCTTAAAATTTTTATGTCTCTTCTAACAGCATTTTTTATTCCATGTCAGAGTTGCAGTCGGAGCACTTTGGCGAATAAAAAAATTATTATAAAATTAATTTTCTATAATTTCGTATGTCGGTCAGATTTGGATCCGAACTAACTACTCGACCAATGCAGCCGCCAAGCGACTCCGCTAACAAATAATGTAACCAACACTCCGAATGGCTGGCCGACATTTTCTTTGCAGTTCCATGAAACGCTCAACTTTCTCTGTTAAGGTAGGACTTGAATTTGACAAATCTTGCGCTAAGATATCTTCTAGCTAGCCCTCGGAATTAGGACCACCCGGCTATTGTCACTTACTCATAGAAACTCCGCTACCACGGCCGTCAAAACTCCTAGGAGATACTTATTCGTAAAAGCCATTGTAGTAGAGTTCCCTACAAGGCCCGTGCTGACCATGGTTTACCTGGAATCCGTGCTGAGATTTTTTATACTCAAACCTCTGACATTTGGGAATTCATCTGAATTTAATTAAGTTTTGATCAAGCTTTCCGTAAAGGACGAGGGAAAAAAGGGTAATCTTCGCTCATCAAGTACGGCAAAAGAGACAGAGTTTTCTCTCTCCACCTTTGGTATCTCCCCGTTAACATGTTTACATTACCTTTCGAGTTAAGAAGCACGGCTTGTGAGTAGTGGTATGCGCTGATGACTGGAAAAGACCTTCAAACTGTCGAACTGCAACTGGTAGCGTGGACTGGTCATATGTGACTAGTGGGCCTGCTGGACGCACTGTGCGCTCTTCTATCACTTTCGTTAGACTTTACAAACCTTACCTCGGCAAATGGATTGCGTGGGCGCTTTAGCAGCCTCCATAGTTGGCTCGGGTAGTTTAACCCAACCTAACCTCGCAGGAACTCCTCATCGTTAGTCTCAGTCTCAGTTGGAGCTTTGGCCTAGTAAGGAAACGACCATCTTTTTATCTACCATCTAACCCAGCCAGCGACTCGGCTTCTGCATGTTTCTCAAACGGTGTAGTGCTGTTCCTGGCAGCGCTAGCTGCGCCTCGTCAACGTGCAGTAGCTGGTTATACAACGTGCATGCTGGCAGAGCCCAGGTAACTCGTGGGATACAGGGGAATATCCTAGTCAATCAAGTCAACCACATTGAAAGTGCTCCCCAGGTCGTTCTACTGTTAGATATAATATATAGGTTAGAGCATCGGCACTGTGACCCTTGGCCTATTGTGCCCAAGGTAACAGTCCCACACAGGCGAGAGCGTGAGCCGGCTAACACTCCAAGTGATGTCCCCGTGGGTTGAAGGCTTCAGTATTTACAATCCCGACGTTTAGGTGAAAGGATCACATCCAAAGCATGGAGACTAACTAAAACCAAGACCTCTCGGTACTTTTATTTGTAATTTTTTTAATCAAGCCGACAAAG